CTTGCCTCGAGCAGATGGCAGAGCAGGAGGAGAGGCAGGTACACACAGCGTGTTGCAGGGGGTCGGAAGAAACGATTTAGGTGTTTGATGTCAATAACAGCCAGTTACCAGCTCCTGAATAATAAATTCCAAAGGGGTTATTCACAGCTCTGCAGAGAACTCTCCAGGCTGAGTAATGGTTGAAAACGCTGCTCTTGGGGAGGCAGATCCTCAACTGCAGGAGACACTTGTAAAATACAGAGGCTCCCCACATGGACACCTTTTCTGAGAGCTGACACAGCCATTTGTGTTGTAGGGTGTCAGTGAGGCCCGATGGATGAGGTACGGTACTGCTAGTGGGACCTATTGCTTTCAAAAAATGGACAGTGTATCCCACTTAGGCCATCCAGATCCCCGTTGTTGGGTATTCGTTAACTACAGTGTGAGCTGGGTGTGAAGTTGGATGCCAGCTGCACCTGGAAGATGAGTAGTTCTCCCGTCCCCACGGATAAAGCTGGCTAGTTGCTTGCTCTATCAGAATGACTCTTTTCATGTTAAAACTAAGTACTTTCGTGTGAGGTCTTTTTTCCTTTAAAAAAAAAAAAGGCAACGCGGTGTGTGCGTACTTTGCCGTTGTGTGTTCAAGTGCAGGGGGCCGTCGCCGTGACAGACACATGCGGTAACAACTTGGCAATTTATAAACAGCGTGATTTGTCATCTAATACTGGGGAGTGATGGGCAAAATGGCAGGTTACGAAAATGAAAACGTCAGCTCTTTTTGCTGCTTTAAATCCCTCTACTGCGTATTCTTTGAAGTTGTGTGAGCTTGTTTCTCAAGTATCATTTATTTATAAATATTAGTTCCTAGAGATCTTTGTAAAATGTGGGTTTTTTCATTCCTGAATGTTCATATATCATCGTGTTACTTGATGTGCAGGGCGAGTTAAGAGGGAGAACTAGAAAGAGAATTAGAATGCGGGAAACTGTTTGAACTTCAGTGGGACCTCAGGTGTATGCAGTGTGGACATGTCTTTGCTATTAAATGTACACTGTTACATGCAGAGTATTAAACTGTAGTCAAGATCAGATTTTTTACACTTGTCTAGTGAAAAAAAGACCCCTGCTGCAAAAGGAACTTCAGTAAAAAATTATCTTTTAAACGTCGTTACCAGTGAACCGTAAATAATTTTATTTTGAATTGTTGCGTCAGTTCAATTTCTGGAGGAGAAGTGGTAGCTTACAGTAATTTTTCACTCTGTGGAAAATATTAGAAGCAGGGTGTGGTTCCCTGTAACGGTTGTTGTGCTTGGTTTTCTTTTTCCATAGTGCTTGGAAAATGAAATAAAAACCAAACCCCATAAATTATGTGTGTCTTTGAGAGAGGGTTGGTAACACAGATTATGCTTTGAGCAGGAAGTGATAGGGCTGGAGAGGAACCAAACAGCGTCTGAGGATCCTAAAATAAAAAACCCCAACCCTAAACACAACAGAGGAGTGAAGGTGGCATCTCTTGGCCTTCAGTAGAAAGCAAGGATGGCGTTGGCCTCCCGCGGTTTGAAGCTGTTGCAGTGGGATGCTTTTTAGTAGGATACAGTCAACAAAAGCAGCAAAGACAAGGTTCCACTTCCCATGGCGCTCCCTGTGCGAGAACCTGCCTCTGTGTGTCAGTCTTCCCGTCGCTCTGGAGGCTTGATGGAACCCGTGGCAGCGTGGCTTTAAGGTCTCGTTGCTGCACAAGCTGCTGTTGGCTTTAGCGCAGCGATCGCCCTGCTCTTGGCCGGCGAAGTCGTCGGGATCTTGCCTTTCCCTGAAGCTCCTGGGGTTTGATTACATTATTTTTCTTCTTCTTTTTTGTTTGTTTTTTTTAATTTTATTTTCATTTCCAGTAAGAGGCATGTTTATTCAAACTCAGGACACACCAAATCCAAATAGTTTGAAGTTTATTCCAGGGAAGGAAGTGCTGGAGTCGAGGACTATGGAGTTTTCCACACCAGCTGCAGCGTTTTGCTCACCTTTGGCAAGGTATTTATTGTTAAACCCATCATCATTCGTTTGGGGGACCAGTATGGGCTGTGTGTGTGTCTACAGCTGATGGTTTTAAGCACAGCTTCTGATCATTCTGCTCCTCCTTATGCTCAGGAGCAGCTTGGCTGGATTTAAGTTTTTAATGCTGGGAAGATTGTTGTTACTGAAGTAGTCTTTGTGTATGTGAGCGTGTGCTCCCCGGGGCTGGATCAGCAGAATGCATCGTGGTCTGGTTTATGCAGTGGGACTGAGTGGTATCATAAATCCGTATTCTTGAACAGCTGCTGCATCACTGGCGACACCTCTGGCCCTGATTTCACAAAATCATTCCCATCAGGACACTCTTAATCCAAGTAGTTACTTGGAAATTGTGTGACTTTTCAGAACTGGGAAACAGCGTAAGGAAGGAAATTGTCCCCAAATGCCACGAGTTAGATGTAGTGGCTTCCTTGGACAGGTGTTGGTCCTAACCCGAGCTTCAAAGCCAGCGGATTTTTCCTTCACAAAAGGTTTATAATGTTTCAGTCAAAGGCAGGCCAGTTTTGTTCCGCTCTTCTGGGCTGGATCTGTAACAGCTCTTGGGAGTTGCAGCTTTCAATACCAAAATGCATAATCTGGAGTAAGGATCGCTGAGGAGGTAATCGATTCCTGTCCTCTCGGTACAGAAGGGTTTTGTAGCACCATCGCAGGCCCCTCTGGGAATATTTGGGAGCACGTTTGTCATTGCTCTCATGTTAGCCTCTGAAAAGAAACTTTGTGTGGGTGGAAGGGCTTCAGTTTGAGGGTGAGATCCAGAAATGCTGCAGTAGGTTACCTCCGGACACCCAGGCTAAGTCATCTTTGAGTGTCTTGGAAGAATTAGATGCAAAGTAGACGCTGTTTCAGCGTGCCATTCTTTCCAGGAACCGTAGGGTTATCAAACACGCAGCTCTAACATTTCCAAAGGTCTCAGAGGTGTCTGCAGAGTTGTTTGAGAGCAAAGAGAATCTTTACCAGCAAAGCTGTGTGCCTTAAAGCGATAAATACAACCTGAGAGGTTTCTGAGGACATCAAAACGTGTTAGTGGAATGCTGGAGCTGTAGGATCCGATTGTGCCAAAGCGCATCGAGTTGCAGAATGAAATCGCCTGTCAGAAAGTGGCTTTTTGTTGTCGTGTATCTGCAGGCAGGTGTTTTCATCACAGAAGGTGTATGGGGTGGGATGTGTGCGGTGGCAAAGCAGCTTGATTGTGCGTGTTGTGCGTTAGTGGAAGAAAATGGTCTGCTATGTATTAATGCCAGAGAATGGTTTTTGTAAGTGGAACGCTCATCTGTCTTAAAAGGGAATATTCATTTTTCCAAAGAAGTAATAAAAGCTTCCTGAAGGTGGGGGGGTGGGGTGGGGGATGGGAATTATTGAATTGTTCTAGGATGGTTTGGTTGCACTTGCATAATCCCATTGTTTGAGTAACGTTACGGTCTAGTTGGTTTAGTGATGCAAAAGCCCAATGCTCGTCCAGCTGTTTCACGGGTGGAAATTCTTTCAAACGGGTGTCGTGAAATCTCTTCTGTAACTTTTCATCCCACGTACCAGTTCCTTCCTTCATTACAGTTTTGATGTTTTCCGGTCTTCCAGGAGAATATAGTTTTCTTTTCTTTTATGTTTCCTTAATTACAAAAACGCTCTTACAGCCCCATGCTGTATTTACCTCTGTGTGCTTCCTACTTTTATTTTTTTTAATTTTTTTTACTCTTCAGGTGTAGCATCATTTATTTATTCTGCAGATGAATTTGTTGGGTTTTATTTAACCATTTGTGGATATCGGTGTCTGCATTCTCATTCTCCTTTTTATACTTAAAATGTTGTCAAAAATATGCTCTGTCCTGTCATTGTGAGTTCTGGTGTCGCTTTGGATCTGTGCTGATTTACCACCCAGTTGTTGGATGCTGTACAGGCATCTCAAGCAATTTCATATGAATCTTAAGCCTTTACTAAATCTTCAGATTATTGATGTGCCATGCAAATGGCTAAAAGCATTGAAGATTGCTCAGAAAGTGGGTTGGTGTGTTAAAGCCTGTGCACTGCTGGGCACTAATCCTTTTGTTTCATGGCAGCAGAATTGAAGGCCGTTTTTATTGAGCTCAACTACTTTAACTGCTTTAATCTAAGGAATATTCATTGTATTTGCACTAGTCCTACCCAAAACCATAGGTACCTACTGGTTTGATGCTGAACAAATACCTTTCTATATATGGAATATATATAAAAATATATATAGAATAGGAATATATATAGAATATATATATTCCTATTCTATATATATATACATATGGAATAGGAATATATATGGAATAGGAATATATATGGAATATATATATGTGTTACTGTGTACACTGCTTCACAGCAGGATCTCCCGGCTCTTACTAAGCTGTAGGTGAAGTAACTCAAAGTTTCTTTTAACGGTTCTGGTTTTAGTGCTCATTTTTGTCTAGAATTGTGTTCTAGAATGTTTTTTTCTGTGACAGATTAAATAGATCTTTAGGAGTTTGCCTGAAATGTGTGTGCGTTTTTGTTTTGTTTGGTTTTCATTCTTTTTTGTTTTCTTAACAGACAATTATTCAAAATTGAAGGAGTTAAAAGTGTTTTCTTTGGACCAGACTTCATCACGATCACCAAGGTAAGCAGAACAGAGATTCAAATGTGCTGAAAGATGAGCTGGGGTTTAGCTCTCTAATAGATGGCCGCTGAGAAGATCCAGTCAGACTCTGGGACGTGCGTAGTGAAAGTCCCAGAGGCCGTGCTCAAAGCGGTGTAAAGAGCACAGCCTCTCGTGTAAGAGAGAAGGAAAATCCCGGAGTGTGGATAAGCACTGGAATAGGCTGCCCAGGGAAGCTGTAGATTCTTCGATGCTGGAGATGGGTGACATTGGGCAACGTGGAAGTTGCCTCTGTGGAAGAGGAAGCGGGAGCGGCCGAGCCCCAGGGGCCACTTCCCAACGAGGGGGTTGTGGCCGGGGTGGGGCACGCTGCGGGCAGCGGTGTGTGTGCCCAAGGCGTGGCGCTCGCGTCAGCGGAGGTGAGGGGTTGCGTCGTAACCGCACGGTTGTGCTGCTGCTGGGTGAGGAGCACAGGGCGAGAGTAATTTGTCACGAAACGGAATGCAACCAAAGAATCTTGAGTTTCTGAAGCGGTTTGTGTCAGACAATGGATTTGGGAGACTTTCACCTCTTTTTAGCTAATATTTCGATAGCAAACCAGGAAACCTTTCTGCTGACTATCGTAAATTGGGTCTTACTGAACTTTTTTTGCAAAGCTGGATTTGACAAAGCCATGAAATCCAATCCATGTGTCCAATGTGAGAGCCCATTGTGATACTTTTAATGTAAGAAGAATCTCTGCATAACTCAGGAGGCAGATAGTCTGGTTTTATTCTTTTATTTTTCCTTTTTTTTTTTTCCCTTTTCATTCTCATAGGAGAGTGAAGACCTGGATTGGAACTTGCTGAAGCCAGATATTTATGCAACTATAATGGATTTCTTTGCCTCTGGCTTACCTGTAGTTACTGACGAGGCACCTAGGACAGATACAGGTAAATCAAGCTCTTCAGGAAGAGGCCAGTACCTGCCCTTGGGTTTCGTTTTTGTGACATCCAGAAGAGCCTCCACTTGTCCCTCAGATGCAAGAGTGAACACCGCTAAACTTAACACCGGACAGAATTTGCAGAACGTGTGTGTCGAGGGGAAGCAGTGGACACACAGCGCCTGCTTCTCACCTGCCCGAGCATGAGGAGTGTGTCTGCCCGGGAGCTGGGCTGGACCCCGTGTTTTGGTAGTGTGGACCATGCTCTGTTACACTTTGCGGGTGTGAACTGTTTCTGCAAGTCCCGAGGCTGGCTTTAGAAAGCTGTGGGGTGTTGCTGCCTACCTTTTTGTATGGGCACCTGCAAAGGGTTTGATTTCCCTCCTTAAGTCAAAAAAGAGTGCTCAGGCTTAATGTCCGTGTCTTAAGGATAGGTTTGTGGTCTTAAATGAGCAAGAAATAGTAAGAAGCCTTCTTCCAAACTGTAATAGAAAGCAACATAGACTAACTTACGGTTTAACTCAGTATTTTGCCTTTTATTTTCTCATTTGCAACTTACCAACTTCAACAATTTTTCACTTTTTCCAGTGTTTTGAGGAAGGTTATGACTATTGAATTCTTCTCTGCTCTGTTATACCTGGGTTTATTTTCAGTATTAACATAGACTTTATTTTATTTGAAAAAGTTGTCTTTAAAAATGCTTCTGCAAGACTAACACTGAGCTTAAAATTGCATCCAGAGCTGCTGAACTCAGACACATAATTCTTCTCTTGCTGGATTTTTGAGGTTGCTAAAACATTTCTTCTGAGGGCCCTGCCTTAACCCGTGCATCCTTGTTGATGTTAGTTGTGGCTTCCCTTAGAAGGTGGCACTGCTGTTGTCTGTTAAGGCCTTTCCCTGTTGAGAAGAACTCTGAACCAATACTGGTTTTTGTCGGCAAAAGCCTGGGATGTAAATGAGGATAATGCGGGAAAAGACCCCTAGTCTGAATTCAGACTTCTGCCTTTTGGTTACAGTCATCTCAGCAGTCTCTTTATGCTACTTCATTCTGCCTTTATGGATGTCAGTAATTACCAGAATTCTCTCCAAGTTCTGATTTGTGCATTTTTCTTTTCCCAAGCTGCATCGGAAGAAGATGATGAAGTTGTACTGATGATTAAAGAACTGCTGGATACAAGAATAAGGTAAACCGGGAGCATTGGGGCTAGATGAGTGAGTTTTGGGGGTTGGCTTTATTTAGGGAACAGTGCATTTTTGTTTGGGTACGTGTGGTTTCATGGTTCCACATCCAGTGTGGGGGTTTAAAGTGCAAAACTGGCCAGAGTTGAGAATGTTGCGGTTTTTTTTCCTCTAATTGAAAACTTTCTATCTAGTTTTCCCATGTATGCAAACTATGGGCTGATCAGAGATCTTACTGCCGAGTGATTTCAGAACAGTGTGTAGTCTTACCCTTCATAATCAGTTTAAACAGGTCCATTGGGTTTAACTGGGTGATTTTTAAACAGTGAGAACACACAATCTTTGCTTTTCCAGTAACTTTTTTTTTTTTCCTCTGTTGTATTAATTTCTGTCTTAATTGTACTTCTCCTTGTCTTCCAAATATGCCAAAGTAGTTTATATTGTACGGCACTCTAAAGGAAAATGCACTAGTGGGTTTCCCTCGCTGTCTGGGCTTGGGTAGATTTTGTCCTTGGTTGTATTGGTATTTTAACACAGCTTGAATTTAGAAATTGGTGGAAACTAATGAAGTCTCGAGAGTGGCTATGGATCATGTTGTTTAGCTGAGGTGTTTTTTTGTGCTCACTAATTGCCTTCCAAAGTGAACTGAAAGGAATAAGCAACTTGACATTTTAGATGCAAGGGAAAATGTCCGATGTGTTTCTGAAGCTGTGATATCTGATGGCGACATCTTCCCCAGCTCACAAATTACAGGAAACAGAAACTTATATGGCGGTCAAAGTCATAGAATTTGGTTTAATTTTTCCAAAAGTTATGACGAGCTTGGGCTTTTATGTCATTTTTTTAGACGCTGCATTTTAAAAGTGATATTTAAAAATACTGTTTTGGGTATCTCGTGGCTGACACGTGGTACTCGTTAATTTTCCTGAGGGGAAGGAGGGAGAAAAGCAAAAATAAGCTGGAACGTTTTTCCCCAGCGTATGTACCAAGCGTTGAAATGTGTTAGCCAAGTATGCTGTTGTATAAAGCCATGACCAAAAGTAACGCTCAGAAAGCTCTGCTCTTGCTGGGTACGTGGTCAGTTAAGCTTCCTCTGGTATCTTAGTCCCTGATTTCCAGTGGCCTTTTGTAATGGTCACAGAATTTCTGCTCAAATATCTGGTTTTCCCCACCTTTTCCTTTCTTTCCTTCCCTCTGTACCCCTTGGTGGACCAAGGAGCTGTTGAGAGCAGTAGCAAGAGTGTATCTGACTGCATTTTATAGCAGGATAGAAGCTATATATAAACCAGTGGTGCATGCAAAGCATTTATTGTTTAGTCAGTCAAAAATAAGGGCAAAGAAGTTGTCAGAAGGTGCGGGATGGAGGGAATGAAGATCTGAAAGGTCCTGTAGTGTGTTTAAAAAAGTTAATTTCAAAGAAGAAAAATGGAATTTTTAGTCATGCGCCTTGGCTTTCTGGAATGGAAATAATTTGCTGTGGTGAGTCGTTACTGAATGTGTCAGATTCATAGGTTATTCTCCTAGGAGTGTAGTTCTCAAAGAGTTATTTTGGAAATGGGTATAAAGAGCTTCTGTTAGAGTAGCTTGATGGTTTTAGCTTGGTCTGGAAAATGTTGCTATGGGGATACGGTTACAATGCCGGGCATTTGTTGCTTGCAAGAGGAGACCAGGCTGCAGAAATGCTGGTAGTGCTGGGGTGTGATGTGATCAGATGTGATTTCTTCACCCGTTAGCAGGATTAAGCTTTTATAGTTGGAGCTTTTTTCTGTCCTGTGTAACCTTTGGTGACCTGCGTAGTGATTTATGGAGGCACTTCAGGACTTGCACTGCCCCGTGTCAGGTAACAGATGCGCAGGCATCGTGTGATAGGACACGCCTGTTACACTTGGCACACAACCGAGGGAATCATCGTTACCTGTGGAGAGGGCCTCGAGGCAAACCAGTGTGGCTTTGCGGGCTGGATCGAGCTCTGCTCCGAGGTGCTTACCCTCGCCCCCAGGATTGCAGTGACTCCTCTGCTCATTCATTGCAAATACGTTTTGCTTCACGTCCTGTGGTAAAGAGCAGCCGTCAATGTGTCTATTGAATTGAGCTTTACTAAAGATTTCTGGAGGGAAACGTATTTCAGCTATACTTGCTTTAAATTGAGTATCGTGTTCCCTCAGGCCGACAGTGCAAGAAGATGGTGGTGATGTTATTTATAAAGGCTTTGAGGATGGGATTGTGCAGCTGAAGTTGCAGGGTTCGTGCACCAGCTGTCCCAGTTCCATCATCACCCTGAAGAATGGGATACAGAACATGCTCCAGTTCTACATCCCTGAAGTAGAAGGCGTGGAACAGGTGGGTTGGTGAGAGATAACAGCTGTTTTCCTTTGCGTGGGGAAGGAGGTCTTTGTCCCTTTCCAGCATGGCCAGGTTGGCGCTTTGAGCAAAAGCACAGGACGTACAGATACGGTTTTTCCACGTCAGAAGCTGACTCTTGGCCGAAGACGCAGCACCCTGCAGGGCCCTGTACAGCCCCAGGCGCCAGGATGCGCTGGGGACTGCCTGGCTGGGAAGCAGCCTTGCAGAGAAGGACCTGGGGTGCTGGTGGACGCCAAGCTGAACTTGAGCTGGAGTTGTGCCTTTATGGCAGAGGTGGCTGACGGGAGCCTGGGGAGTGGCCAGCAGGCTGAGGGAGGGCATCCCTCGTTGGGCTCCCTCCAGTGTGCCCAGGTCCCTCTTCTCCTGAGGAGCCCAGCCACTCTGTTTGCCAGTGACTGTTACCTTCGGCTTTGGTGACTTTGTGTGATAATAAGGGACAAGCTTTTGTCCCTGAAAGTGCAGATTCTTTTGCTTTCTTGTTAAAAATCCAGTACGCTGTAGTGATTGTTCTCGTGGCCTTTGTAATAACTTGGCCAGCTCCTGGTGCTTCAGCCACGTTTCCTCCTGGCATTTTTGACTGCCCGTTTTTCTTACCTTCTCCATGTGCCCATTGTCCATCCGCGGTGTAGAGTAGCTGCTGTTCTCCGTGGGTCCAGCAAGGGTGTAGTGTAATAAATTCTCTGTGCAGTCCTACGGGACTAAGAGTTTAAACTGTTTCCCTAAGCGACTTCTGGATCTGATTTCAGGTTGTGGATGACGATGATGACGTGGAGAAAGAAGCAAATTCTACTTGAGCTAGCATCATCTCTGGCCAAATAAGTATTTACCTCTTGGTGTATGAACTGTCTGTGCTGAGGAACAACCAAATTTGCCTTTCTTTTCAGAAAAATAGTTGCACTTATATTGGTGAAAATGTATCATCAGTTTAAGCAGTTTGTCCACTAATTTATTAAATGCCCTGCATTCAAAAATTGAATCCTTTTTCTCTGCTTTGTACTGTGTCTTAAGAAAGAAATGGTGGGCTTTAAAAATGATGATGTGTGTCTCCACTGTTCTTTTGTACAAATAATTCAAGACTGAAAAAAAGAGAAGGTGGAAGTAAAGTTTCTTGACTGTTTTTTTTTTTGCGTAATAGAAATATGAAATGTTTATTCCCCGCAAACCTCCTTATGGGGCTTGCAGGCCTATCTGCCCTTGCTCTGTAACTGGGAAGTTCAGGAATGTTCATTTTATCAAGTCTCGTTAAAAAGCTTTTGATTCATATCATTTGTGTGTGTTGTGAAAAATAACCCATGACTTCAACCGTTCGTTTTAGAGGAGTAATATTGCCGTCACTTGTGGAAGGCGACCTGCTTGCTCACTGCCACTGTGCGAACAGCAGCGACAGAAACAAAAAATGCGAGTTGTTTGTTACAAAAATCCTATCTTTTACACGGTAGAAGAAGATGATCCTTATCAGCTTTAGTAAGTAGAGAGACTAATTAGCTTGTTTAGAAGTAAAATTGTTCAGCCACCATTAGTGGTCTGTTTAAACTTGCAAAAGGTGGTTTCTCAACATCATACTCCAACATCAAGATGAATGTGCGGTGCTGCAGGGCACAAATTACATTTGTAGAGTAGCAGAGAAAATTAATGCGTTTACCTGTGCCATGCCCTGTTTGTTCCTTCCGCGGTGCCAGAGCGCGCAGCGTGTGTGTAACTTGGCTGCCCTGGCTGAGCGAGGGAAGGTGTGGCAGCGCAGAGCACGTTCTGCTGTTGGAGACTGTGGGAGGAGAAATACTTACTGTTCTGAAACCGAAATATGTAAACTTTGCAAGGCCCTCTGTTTGCTTGTGCCTGTAGGACTTGATTTCTTCCTGGTGCCTAGCTTTAGCAGATGGCTTTGCTAGCAGAAATACTTCGTGCTGCCACAGTCGAGCGGAGTTTGCGGTCGTTAGTTGCCGTATGGTTACAGCCGTGTTCCCTGCGTGCACGGATCCGGCAGCCGCCGGCCCGTTCCCCTCTTTCGCTCCTTGCCAGTGTGATTCCACTGAGTCCCTAAACAGGACCGATTAAGTCAGTGGAGAATCTTTTATGTAGCATGCAGATCAGCGTGTGGTAGCCATGAGCCTCGTATTACTTGTTGGAAATTTAAAAATAAATATTTTAGCAAAATATTTCTTCAGCTTTCGTGGAGAGTAATAACCCTCAGTCATTTAAACGACCCACTCAGGATTTGGAAATTGCTTTGAAATTACTATGTCTTCTGTACCCCATTATGAAGTAGCCAGTGCCTGATCTTACAAGTATGTTGATGACAAAATTCCCCTCGAGGTGGGCTGAGACTACCCAAAAGGGAGCTTGTGCAAACATTCTCGCCACGTGCTGCTTTGTCAGCAAACCAGAGCGTGGCAAGTAATGTTTCGGGTTTCTCAAAACCAGAGCTTTTTAGGCTGAATTTGTCAGTTTAATGCACTATATAAGCCAAAACTTACATAGTTTTGTAACTTATATAGTAACAGCCAAAGCAAAGTAGGTGGTTTGGGTGTTAAATAAAATGTATCTCTTAAAGATGTGGTCTTTACCCTTCAATTAAGCAGTACTAATCTCTTCCAAGTACAGTAAGGGTCCAGTTCTGCCGCTATCTTTGTATTTCCAGTCTTATTTTTGATGAGGTTTCGATTTGTACAGATAGGACCAAATGAAGCCCACATGTACTGAGGCGGAAGATTAAGCATCTTCTGATCTTGAGACCGAAGAGATCCCGTGTCCGGCGTGTGCCCTGTGTTTCCTCAAGGTCCTCGAGCTCTGTCGTGGAGAGAGACGCGCGTGACGCTCGCCCACCATCCTCTTGTATCTGTTCTGGCCCACCACAAAGTAAGCTCCTTTAGGGCAGTGGTTGCATTTCTGCAGCATAAGGCAACGGGGGGCTCTCCAACGCTGGGTAAATGAAAGCAGAAGGAGGGGGTTAAGTGCCAGTTCTCCCTTGGGGAACAAAACAAAACCCACCTGTAGTGGCAGCATTAACAATAGCCATGAACTCTAATACTGTGGTAGCCCAGCGTGTTGAAATCATCAGCCCGACTCATTAGGAGTTTCCAAGCTCTGTCTGGAACAGCGTAGTTCGTGGAAAGAATCCCCGCTGGAGAGAGGTGTGTCCCGCCTGCTCCACTCGCCCCAAAAGCCTTTCGCATTCCCGGACCCCAAGGCAAACGGGGGAACACAGGAATGGCTGTTGAACCTTCGGTTCGGGAGTTACCGAGGTGGCCGGTGTCCTCTGTGCAGCAGCGGGCGGTTCTCGCAGTTCTTTCTTCAGCTGGGCGCTGGGAAGCCGTGCTGTGCCGTAGCGCTCGGGTCAGCAAGGGGTTGTGACTGTCGAGTTTTTCTGTAAATTGCAGTTAGTCATCACATTTAGACCAGTAATGACTGCTTGGAATTATTCAGGTATTTTTTAAAGAAAAAAAAAAAAAAGTACTTTTGCTGTGCCCCAAATAAGTGCAAAATTCCAGTCTGCCGTTCAGCCCCTCTTGTTTTCCCCCCGTGTCGGATAGAGGAAACACAAGAACTTCCTAAGCGCTGTTCTAGCCCTCTCTTTCACAGGAAAAGTTGATGACAGCTATCTAAACTCTTGTCATCTTGAAACTGTTCGCAGGTGGACGTGTGCTTTTTGTCAGGATGTGACTCATTCCATGCTTCTAGGAGAAATTAGCCCGTCTGTCTGTCAGGCGCTCTCCTGCCAGCGCTACAGCGTACGGCGTGAAGCAGCCGACAGCCGCAGCCGTCGCTGACAGCATTGTTGGAGCAGGTACTTTCAACGTGGCAGCAGGAGGAAATAGCTCACGTTACCTGACGTTAATAATGAAAATGTGTTATCTCAGGGATCGCAAAACACACTCTTTTTCCAGAAGGTGATCTAAAATTCAGGACTTTAGCCAGAACTTCTATTTCAAGTGAAGTCCTCACACTTTCAAGTGAAGTGTGTTGAGCTTAGAGGAGAAGGAAGCGGGTATTTTTTCCCCCAACCATGACCCCTTTCTGTTGATTTTACCAGAGGCTCGCCTCCGAGAGGCACTTTGGGAAACGGTTCACGTTTCTCTGTCCGGTAGCGACCTGCACCTCTGTCTGCACGAGCTCTGTGCGGTAGCAAAGCCACGTGCTGCTCGGAATGACGTAACGGGTTACGTGCGGGAGAAATGCTGGCTTTAACGGGGAACAAATTAAATGGCCACTTCAGGGCCGAACATGTGGAGCTAAATGTGCAAAATTCTGAGGAATTTGCGCCAGATGGGTAGGTATGGAGGGGCGGGTTAGCCTCAGCTTGAGGGATGCGTGCTTATAACATCAAGTAATGGTGTAAGTTGTAAAGTTCGGTATCTGCTGGGCTGCCGACACGTCCGGTGTGTTTTGGGGGTGTCTGTGAGGCCCGTCCGTGCTTCTTCGGGGTGGGCATCCCCTGCTGCAAGTAGGGTCGTACCCTTTCGTTGGTGCTCAGCGAACGCTGTAGGGATTTTAAGTTTGTAGTGGATACCTGCAGAAATTCCGTGAGCGGTGAGACGCGAGGAGCAGCGAAGAAACCCGCGGTGTAGAAATAAAGGGGCAGATGACGGGGAGGTGCCTCGTAGATGAGTGAGGGAGAGGTGGAGCAGCGGCCAGAGCCGAGGGGAGCAGTGTGTCTGTGCCAGTGGCTCTCGCGCGTGTCGCTGGGGATCGCCGTTCCGATTTGCGCCGTTACCATGGGGTAGCAGTTCCCTTCTCATCCCAGAAATCAACTTCTACCGCCACAAGGCGTGTGGCTTCCCAGTTAATGGGGGAAAAAAAAAATAAATCTGAGTTTGAGGTCGGCCCTCTTCCACCTTCACAACGGCCAAAGGGGACGGAAGGCACGGAGCAGCTTGGTGCCCGGTCTCTGCTCTACCCACGCCAGCCCCAGGGACTGGGACCAGCTGCCTTGGGTTGTCCCTGCCATGTCCTCGCTGCCCACTAAAAGCAGCAGCACGGCCGGGGGTGGACGCCTGATGTTTCTGAGGTCTGTGACCTTCCTGCTTCGGCCTGTGCTCAGCCACGTTCTCCTAGCAGCCAGTTCAAAATCTGCACCCGCCCTGGGTGTTTTTCTGTGTAATAACGTTGTCGGTTGTTTTCTGGGCTTTTTAAGGAAATCTTTATTGACTTTTTAGTGTCAAGTTAAGCGAGCAGCATTTATCTTAGGAAGGGAGCGTGCCATCTTCTTGCAGCCTTGACCCTTTAATGACTTTTTCAACCAGTATTTGATCGTGGTAGTTACGTGGTGGCCGCGTAACAAGGCCGCCCAGCCCAGGGAACAAGCCTATCGCTCCTTTGTCGGTTGTGCCTGTCCCCGTTTGCTTCGTGGATTCATCTCAGTGGTTTCTTTATCTTGGTCTGCCTGGGTGCTGTTACAGGGCAGGTGCGGTGGAGAAGAGCGGCCATGCGG